AACGCAGCACTCAAATCTAAAAGTAATAAAACTGCAACATTGCCTGAATCAACTGTTAAAAGAAGATCATTGTACACTCGAAGCAAAGCTGTTTCAGTACTGTGAGCAGCTTTAAACCCAGACTGAAATTTGGGACCATTTTTTCATTAACATGAAAGTGTTTATCTGCAGTTTTGCTGGATTTGCTTTATATAGTATACAGTACTTAATATATCCTGTTGTTCCATTCAGAGAGTGTGAGAAAGCTGCAGTTTTAGCCAGGAAACCTTTTTCCTGTTCCTTTAAAAATTAGAAGTGGAGTCTTTTGTAGAATTAGTTTACTCGTAGTTTACTAGGCTAATCTCCTCCTGGTGTTTGTCCGTACATCTTTCTTTCATTCACAGTACTCAAACTTGACGGTCATTTTGAGTACTGACATCAGTTTGCTTTATGATTCCCAATCATTCCGAGTTCTGTCTGACAGGAACCAATTGTAGGCATAGATGACAAAGAAAAAAATCTACAGCAATGTTCTTGTAAGTTGTAAATTGGTCTCGAATAGAAAGGTTTTCTTTTAAAAAGGGGGACAACCCTGCAGGGGTGCCGCCATGGGGGCCCTATGAAAGACATTGATATTGGGTCCCCCCAAAAAATTTATGAAAGCTTTAGTGCAATAAAATATTTTTTAACATTAAGGAATTCAGCATTTAAAAAAAAAAAAAATGATGTATTCATGTAATATATTTGTTTAATTTCTTCTCATTTTAAAAACAGAATAAAGAGCAATTAGTTATTCCTTTTCACTTTTTTCATCTCAGGTTTTTACCCAGTTATTTTACACATTTATCTCTCTGGTTCCATGGTGACCACATCAGGATAAGACCAGCCAGAGATGCAGCAGATGATTGGCTGCAGAGCTGATCATTAAACAGAAAGGCTCTGCTCATTGGATTGCTGCCACTGTGCTATGGGCTGCAGGGGGCTCTGCAGACTATAAAAGTATCCAGACACAGATGGAAGCACAGAGCGAAGTTACTGCTGCACAGTGCTGGTTGGTGCTCATCACACAAAAGCTGGAGACCTAACATAGAGACACAGCGCAGCCATGAGTGAGGTAAGGGATATTTATTGAGCTACTAAGCTTCTATTCAGACTCTAAACATCAGGAAATCTTTTCTGTTTTATTAGGCATTCTCTGAAGTTTGCTTGGACTTTTGGTCCAGACAACTGAGCTATTGAAGGCTCAGCTGTTGATATTTTCTACTTAAAACTGATTAATTTTATTGATGAAATTACATTAGAGTTGACAGGTTCTAGATTTTCTCATTTAGTTTTTTTTAAAATGTATTCCTAAGCAACTTTTTCTTTGAAATTATGAAAAAATGAATTGCAGCAAAAAAGATAACATTTATTGCAACACATTATGACTGTTAGAAACTTCTCATGGTTTGTTCCTCCTAAGGACAAAAGGAGGAAAGAAAGCTTGAGGAAGCTGATGTAATAGTAATCAAACTGTTCTTACAAACACAGACAAATACAGCAAGAGTTTGTCATTACCTCATTTGCATGAAATAGACCACAATTTACATGTACATCACCCAAACAAACCAAAGAACAGTCTCTAGATGTTGTTTCTCATGATTAATGTAAGGAACTGAGCTTTCAGTTCCTTACATTAATCATGTGAAGAATGTCAGTATCTGTGTGTGTGTGTGTGTGTGGGTGTGTGTGTATGTGTGTATGTGTGTGTGTGTATGTGTCTTGTTTTGCCAATATAGCCCTGAGAATCGATGTCCCAAAGCTATTTGATAGCCTGATAGATTTGCTTTCCAGGCAGATAATTCAGCTTGGTACTTGTATATGATACTTTATTGAAGATTATTTAGGTATTAAAATCATATACAATGGACAGCGAGACAGAAAGAGAGGTGAGAAAGAAAGAAGGAATAAGAAAGATAGAGACATGAAAGAGGAGAGCACATAAAAAGAGAAAAAATAAAACAAAGAAACAAAAATAAGCAGTTACAAAG